CCTGCATATCTATAAGTCTGCAAGAGCACCTTGCTGTGACCAGTGTCCACATTTTAATCCAGAAAAAAACTTTCAACCTTGTGGTGCTCTTTAGTCTTTTGAACATTATGGTGGGCACCTCTGGGTTACTAAATAGGTTTAGTATCTGTATTTATGCATCTGTTTGTATTTTTTTTTCTGAGACAGTATATGGTGATAGCCTAAAGCAAGCAGCAAAACAGATTTATTTTACTAAAACCAAAATCAATGAAGGATGAATTCTTATTTGATCAGTAATACAAACACTGATCTCCATCATAAAGTATTGAGTAAAAGAATAAACATGGAGAGTCTCAGTTCAATTTCCACCAAGTGTCCTCTACAAGCTGCTAAATACACTCCCAATCTAACTCTTAAAATATTGAGTACTTCAAAAACAACACTACTCAGATATTATGAGCTCTTCAAGTGAAAATAAAAAATATCCTGACTAGCACTGACTTAAATGCATTCACCAAAGTTCAAGTGAGCTCAATTAAAAAAAGGATAATTGGGCAGAGCTGCAAAAGATATACATCAGCTTTCTAAAGATGGCCATACACTAGCATAGTTTCATTCAAATATTTCAATTTACGAATGTTCGTTTTGATATTCAAATCATTAGTGAGGACATTCATTCATTTTCAATGTTCAGTGACAAGAAAATTCAGATGAGCAGGATGGAATTTTTCTCATGCGAGCAAAATTCTAACATTGAATGTGGTTTTCATTTGGGAAAGTCAGTTCACTTAAAAAACCAGTATTAAAACAAATGTTTTTTTTTTAAGTACTTTCAAAAACCACATTTGTCATATCACTGAATGAACTGATCAGGAATTTTCAGACGAATGTTTGTAAGAAAATCTACTAGTGTTTGGCCAGTATAAGCATTCCAGGTATTTCTAATACTACCTCCCACAACTCAGTAATGCAAAGGATCATATACTAAGACTGGTGACAAACACTAAAACCCTAATTTCTGCTGTTCTAGCCTATTATAGAGCGCAGTATCCCTTTGCTCTCCTGAAACACCACTAACTGAGTTAGCCATATAGCCAATGGCCCATCTGCCATTTCTTTTTAGATGGACACAACTATTCACAGGTCTTTCCTCCTGTTCCTTGTGAGCCCTGAGTTGTGGAAGAATTTTCAGAGGAACCTGAGGTCCTAGAAGTGCTAATCCACTTGTAATTTCTTTCCTGCATAAAACCACTTGCAAGACTCTAGAATGTGTTTGATACTCCAAAAAAAAATGTCCACCATTGTACACGCGTCCAGTCCTTCTGCCCAACTGCAAGACCTCCCCTGTCACAGTACTGGCCAATGCAGCCTTGCCTATCAAACTAAAGCAGTCTGGCAATGTTTATCAACAACTTTGCTCAAAAGAAACAATGTTTCATTTTGTATATGTTAAGTTTATCTATAGATCAAAGGGATGAATTTCGATCTGTAGATGAAATCAGGTAAAGCAACCTGACAAGAAAAAAAAAAAAAAAAAAATTAAATGTTCTTTTGTTTAACCCCATATTAATGCTTAGTTTACTCTAATTATCCCTAATTAACTCTTTATTCTCCATCTCCATTCAATTATTATTTTTCTTTTTTTTTTTAGTTTTCTATTTTATTAACTAATAATATTTTAAGAAAAAATTTTGTTTTGCGTTTTTTTTGTTAATATTTTTACACCTTTAACATTTTATTTTACAATAATTTAACATTTTAAAAAAAAGAAAAATAGAAAAAAAAATACTTCATTTCATTTGTAAATAACTTTGGAATGCTTTTTACCAAAATCATAAATTTAGTGTCATTGTAAACAGGACAAATTACATAAAAAGTGAACTTTTTATGTGCAGTAAGTGCAGATTTTTTTTGCGTTTTTGTTACGTTTACTTTAAGGATTGTGAAAAAAAAAATCATTGTTGCAAGACAATAAATAAAGCCTTGTTTGTCCTTAAAAAAAACAATATATGAATTATATTTTTTTTATTGTAAGTAATGACAAGTAATCGCTGAATAAATAGGCCCATAGCAGAAATGTAGAAATTGCTCTGGGTCCATAAGGGTGAACAAGTGTGAGAGCTCAAGTGGTTAAGTTGAGATTTTTCAGTATTGCACATCTGGATCAGAACTTCAGCTAAAAATAAATAGCTCAATATAACGTAGGACTAACATAATTACTTACATTGGCTGAAATTTAAAAATACATGTAATTATTTAATAATGTTATACAGAGGTGCATTAATTTGTGTCTTTCTTATCTACACAGTTCACTTTTTAGGTCAATAATAGTGGGGATAATTATTATTTTTTTTTTATTTAAATATTTATTTATTTTTCAAGGAAATACAAAATACATATTTCCACTTCCATTTCCATACATTTAATAACATCCCCTCTCCCTTTCTATCACATTACAAAACCCCACCCTTTTTCCCTCCCCCCTTCCTCAACCCCCACCCCCCAATTTTTATCCTATGTTTTCCACCTTCAATCAAAACATAAATACTTAAATTCTTGAAGTAAGGAAAATATTCTCAAAAATAATCATTATTACTTTCATACATTTAACCTTCAGTCTATATTCTTCCGATTTATTCCATTTCACATAATATGCTCCTAATCTATCCTCTGAAGTGTAAAAAAATTTTTCTCATCCTAACTAATCTGTTCCACTCTATCCATCCAGTCTCCTCCCCTGGCGCCTACAACTTTACACCAAACACTTGGGGTATCAATCCTTTGCATCATTTCCAAGTAGTGCCAAATATACCCTGTTTTCTTTATATTTCTTAACTGACAAATCTGTACTATGAAAAAGGGACAGATTTCTGGGTCCAGTCTCAACTCTATACTCCGTTATCAACCTAATTTTAGTATTATTTTCTTCCAGATCTGTATTTTTTGGACACTCCCACCAAATGTGACATGGTCGTGCCAAGCTCTCTCCACACACTCTCGCCAACACCCAGAAAATTCTCCACACTCATCCCCGTGTTACTACACTCAGTGTAATATGCCATCTTATCAAACACTTATAATTCATTTCCACCTCACACATACATTTTATATTCTCGTGAATCAATCTATATATTTTTTTCTGTTATCTTCCCCTATCCAACCCCTAAATCTCTTTCCCAATTTGCTATATTACATTAATTTTAGTATCTAATATCTAATTTCAATGAGAATTTATATATACTTATAGCTGTGCCATGTTTCCCAACTCCTGTGATTCCAACAATTGTTCAAACGCATTCCAATTTTCCCTCGATCTCAGAGGTTTTCGGAAAGGGTCCCCCAACAAAATGTTTCAACTAATTATATTTCCACACATCTAATTTAGTAAATATCCCTCCCTCTTCCTTCACCAATCCCCATATGATTTCAATTCTACTCCTTCCCATCATATCACCCAATGTGCATCTTGCTCATCTTAAACCATCTTCCCCGTCAACTCCTCTCTACACTGGGGGAAAATACTCTGAGTTTCTCTCAAAGTGCATTAAAAGTGAAATTAAACTCCCATTTCATCTGCTTAATTGCATTTATCCCCATACACTAAACACATTTAAAGTGTAACAAACTCGTGCTCCTCTTCTAGCAATTCTCGATATTGTGAAGTACCCATATACTTTTACTTAAATTATTTTCCACTGAGTGTATTTTCAATTAGTAACCCAACTTTACCCATTTGGGTTATACGTCCAATCAAATATTCTTGCCAAGATTACCACTGATAAAATATCTCCTAATATCGGGCACTCCCAATCCCCACCGGTGCCTCGCCTTACTCTTTAATTCTACTTAACACAGATCAAATATGCTACTCAAGGCTTTTTAATTTTCCATATGTATCTTATTATCAATCTTTTCATTACTTTACAATAATCTCTGGAAGCTTAATAGGGGACCATTGGAATTTATATAGATTTTAGAAACAATTATCATTTTTTCCAAGTTTATTCTTTCCCATCCAAGACATGGCTACCTCCTCTTAATTTCTTTATTTCTTCCTTAATTTCATTAAACAGGGGAATATAATTTGATTCTATACAAATATTTATATGTAGAAGTAAGTTTCACCCCCAAATGTTTTAATTCCTTCTCTTTCCACACAAAGGAAATTCCCTTTGTATCTTTTCTTTCTCACTATTTGGGAGGTTTATATTCAATATCTCCGTCTTATTAGGGTTGATTTTTAAATTAGACACCTCCCCATATTCCTTCAATGCTCTCATTAAATTAGGGAGTGTTATTCTAGGGGTTTCCAACATAAAACAATAAATCATCCGCAAAAGCAGCTACCTTATGTTCAGTAGTTCCTATACATATTCCCCTAATATCCACATTTCTCCTTATTGTTAGCAGCAAGGACTCCAAAGATAAGACATACAACAAAGGGGACAATGGGCAACCCTATCCACTCTTCATTCTACTTCCTATTCCCAAGGCTACCAAAGTATCCATCATAAAACTACAGTTAACTCTATCAAATGCCTTTTCCGCATCAACAGAAAGCACAACCACCGGGAACTTCTCCTTTTTACATTTCTGAATTAGCAATAGCGATCTTAACCCATTATCTCTACCTTCTCTACCCTGGACAAAACCAACCTGATCTCTATGTACCCATTCAGGCATTAGGTCTCTCAACCTATTTGCCAAAACCTTTGCATACAGCTTTGTATAGGAATAGTGCCCCATCATTGGTGTCAGTGGGAGGTATAGTGCCCCATCTTTGGTGTCAGTGGGAGGAATAGTACGTCATTGGTGTCAGTGGGGGGGAATAGTGCTCCGTCACTGGTGTCAGTGGGAGGAATAGTACGTCATTGGTGTCAGTGGGGGAGAATAGGTGCCCCATCATTGGTGTCAGTGGGAAAAAATAGTGTCTTATCATTGGTGTCAGTGGGAAGAATAGTGCCCCATCTTTGGTGTCAGTGGGAGGAATAGTACGTCATTGTGTTAGTGGAGGGGAATAGTGCCCCGTCATTAGTGTCAGTGGGGGGGATAGTGTCCCAACATTGGTGTCAGTGGGAGGAATAGTGTTCCATCATTGGTGTCAGTGGGGGGATAGTGTCCCATCACTGGTGTCAGTGGGGGAAGGAATAGTGCCCCATTGCTGGTGTCAGTGGGGTTGGTGGAATAGTGCCCCATCGTTGGTGTCAGAGGGGGGCAGGAATAGTGCCCCATCATTGGAGTCAGTGGGGGGAGGAATAGTGCCCCATCTTTGGTGTCAGTGGGGGGTGGAATAGTGCCCCATTGTTGGTGTCAGTGGAGGGTGGAACAGTTCCCCATCATTGGTGTCAGTCGAGGGTGGAATAGTGCCCCATCATTGGTGTCAGTGGAGGAATAGTGCCCCATCATTGGTGTCAGTGGGAGGAATAATGCCCCATCATTAGTATCAGTGACACCAATGATGGAGCACTATTCCTCCCACTGACACCAATGACACGTAACTTGCTGTCCCCTGCTCCAGCCTAGGTGCTACTGCAGCCAGCATACCTGGTTGCAGCAGCACCATCAGCACGGCACACTTACCTGTCAGCTGTCCTTCTTCACTCCGGCCTCTCTCTCACTCGATGTTCGCGGGACCACTTGGCTCCGCCTCCTCACAGGGGATTGGCTGCCTGTGTGCCTTTCCTGAGTTACAGTTCTGGCGCCCAATCACCGATGAGGAGGCAGAGCCGAGCGGCAGGAGTGAGGGAGTGGCAGGAGTGAATGAAGGAGCAGCGCTTCCTGGACTGGGTCATCGAGGGACTGGGACCGGAGCCAGGTAAGGTACAGCAGCCCCCTGCCCGCCACTGTACTTAGTGTCCTGCCCCTGCCGGCGGGCCGGATAAATGGCCTCGGCGGGCTGCATGTGGCCCGCGGGCCGTAGTTTGAGGGCCGCTGGTATACATACTGCAATTTACACCATTGTTTGCTATACAGCACTGCGCTAATATAACTGACAATTACGCGATCATGCAAAGCTGTACCCAAACAACATTTATGAACTTTCTTTCACACATATAGAGCTTTCATTTGGTGGTATTTTGATCACCTGTGTGCTTTTTATTTTTTGAGCTATAAACAAAAAAAGACCAAAATTTTTTGGAAAAAAAAAAACAATATTTCTTACTTTGGGCTATAAAAAATATATTGTAAACTCAAAGTTAAATCATAAATTTAGGCCAAAATGTCCTGAAATGCCAGGATAGCACCAAATGACCCCTTTTTGGAAAGTAGACACCACAAGGAATTTAAAAAGAGGCATGGTAAGTATTTTGCAGATCTCATTTTTTCTCACAAGGTTTTGAAATATAAAAAAAAAAGAAAAAATATGTTTTTGTTTTCATTATTCATTTTCTGAAAATGTGTGGCAACAAACGAGATCTGAAAAATGCTCACCATGCTTCTTATAAAATTCCTTGGGGTGTCTACTTTCCAAAAAGGGGTCATTTGGAGGGGTTGGTGCTTTTGGTGCTATCCTGGCATTTCAGGGCCTCCAAAACTGTGATAGGTAGTCAGGAAGTGTAATGAGGAAGTAAAGCCCTTTAAAAACCTGAAGGTGCTTATTGGATTTTGAGGTCCTGTACTTGGCTAGACTGTCAACAAGTCTCTCATATGTGACATCCCCATACTTGGGAGAAGTAGCAGAATGTATTTTCGGGAGTAATTCCACATATACCCATGGCATGTGTGAGCAATAAATCATTTAAGTGACAATTGTGTGTAATAAAAAAAAAAAAATTGTCATTTTCCAAAAACTTGTGTTAAAAAAATGAATTCTTCTATTGACTCAACATTCCTCTCAGCAAATAGTTTGGGGTGTCTACTTTCCAAAAAGGGGTCATTTTGGGGGGTGGGGACATTTTATGCCCAGCATTAGAAATTTATGCCACACATTACTTACTCTTCTAACCACCTGAAGACCAAGCCTTTTCTGACACTTTTTTCACATGAAAAAAAAATATCAGTATTTTTTGCTAGGAAATTACTTTGAACCCTAAAACATTATATAATTTTAAAGAGAAAAAACCCTAGTGAATAAAATGGTGGGTGCTGCAATTTTTTATGTCACATAGTACTCACGCAGCAATTTTTCAAATGCACTTTTTTTTAAAATCTTAAATACACAAAAACACAATATATTGGCCACTTGTTTGGTAAACTAGAAAAGATGATGGCATGTCAAGTAAATAGATACCAAATATGACATGCTTTAAAACTGAGCATGCCCCGTGCAATGGCGACAAACTGCATACATTTTTAATATCCATCCAAAAGCCTTTACAAGCTACCATTTTAGATTTACAGAGGAGGCCTAGTGCTATAATTTCTGCCCTTAATCTGATGTTCGCGGTGATACCTCACATGCATGGTGCAACGGCTGTCAGCATACTGGCACGGGGTCAACGCTAGTGCACACAGGTGCGTGCATGCACAGGGGGGCGAGGGTGCTTTTTTTAAGTTATTTTGATTTTTTAAAAATTATTTTTACACTGTCCCTTTCATTTTTTTTATCACTTTTAATGATATCACAGGGAATGCAAATATCCTCTATAACTTCAATGGGCATTGTCATATATTCTTTTTTGAGAAATCTGGTGTCTATCAGACTCTAGATATCTCCTCTTCCCTTACATTATCAAATGTCACCAAGGTCGGTGTGAACAGATACTTTCCCAATTTACAAATGGCGCTGTTTATATTCTGCAAAACTGAGGTGATGAAATGCTCATAGCGTCCGATTTCTTAGACTATAGAGATGATTGGCACCATTCCAGTTTCCAATCAGCTCTATGGTCAGCTGGCAGAAACACCGGCTGCATTCTCAGGTTCCCCCGATGGCATGGGACTGCCTATGAAGGCCATGGAAGGCAGCGGGAGAGGGGGGTATCTTCTCCCACTGCTTGTAAAAGCAGTCCAGCCACTAGGATTGCTTTTACATGAAAGCCGATCACTGGCTGAAAAAAACAATACCAGGATGATGCCTGTAGCTGCAGGCATCATCCTGGTATAACCACTCAAATTCCAATGATGTACCAGTACGTCGCTGGTCCTTGTTGGGTGTGCATGCTATGTTCTTTTTTTTAATGCAGCCTGTGGTCATTGAAATCCACCCCTCCCATATTAAGGTTATAGCTGTGGACACAGAGGGGCTTCTCAACAACACCAGCTGCCGTGGCAATTTGGATGGTCATGTCTGTCTGAATGGAAAACAGGATGAAAACATTCCATTTGTCCTTCCACTTCACTGCGAGCAATTCCTCATTCCTCAAGCAGGCTTCTTCCCCCTTTCTAAGATGGGTATGTACAAGCCGTTGGGGGAAGCCCCGGCGATTAGGTCGCACAGTGCCTCATGTGCCAATTCCAAGAATGCACACATGCCTTAATAGTGGCATGCTTGAATACAAATTGTCCATGTATAAGTGGCACTCCATATGGAAAAAGGATGACACCAAATCCCAAACTATTTTGCCACTGCTCCCCATGTAGTCTTGGCATCCGGGTGGGCTCCATGTAACTATCTTTTCTCTCATAAATCTGAAACTTATATGTATAGCCTGCTGTCCTCTCACAGGTCTTATACATCTTGACCCCATATCTGGCATGCTTGCTGGGGAGCAATTATTTGAATGCAAGGTGGCCAGAAAAATTACTGAAGGACTCATCAACACAGATGTTTTCCTGGGGAGTGAAGACATCTGCAAATTTTTGGTTTAGGTGATTTACGAGAGGCCGAATTTTGTGGAGCCGGTCAAATTCAGGGTCACCCCAAGGACGCCAGAGTGAGTGTGTTGTCATTGAAATGCATAAAACGCATTATACTCTCATATCTATGCCTGGCCATGGCAGCAGAGAACACGGGCATATGATGAAACGGGTCTGTGGACCAATACAACCGCAATTCATTATTTTTAGTAATGCCCATGTTGAGGGTTAGGCCCAAAAAAACGTTAAATTTGGAAACCGTAATGGGTTTTCCATGCAAATGGTCTGGCAAGGTTTGAATTTGGGTTGGCGGCGATAAACTGCTGTGCATATAAATTGCTTTGATCCACAATGCATACAGATCTTCCATGAAAAACAGCTCCAAAAAATCAAGTGGAGTATTTAAATTTGCTGTTTCCACCTGAATTCTGGGTTGGGCAGTGAATGGGGGAAGTATGGGTGCTGCAAAATTTGTGGGCTGCCAATTGGGATTTGCAAGCAAGTCCGAAAGGATACTAGGGGTTCTATGGGCCTGTGTGTGAATTCTTGGTGGCTGCTGGACACTACTTGTGCTCGCCACCTCACCAGCTTGTACTGCACTTATGGGACTTTCCACGCCACCAAGTGATACTGCAGTGCTGGTATGTGAAAGACCAGGATATACTAGGGTGCTGGTGCTTGCCAGTTCAGCAAAGGGTAGAGCGGCACTAGTACTGGCACTCTGCTGTATATGAGAGTCATCATGCGACTGTAACATCTCAGCAACCTGGGAACAGGGTCGGGTATGCCTAATCTTAGCATGGACCTCTTCTCCATTGTCTGAGCTGTCAGGGTGCTGCTGCAGTCTACAGGTTTGTATTCTGAGGCTGATTGTGTCAGGGAGTCTTCCTCTTCGCTCTCACCTGACATGCTCAGAATCCTGTAGGCCTCTTCACTAGAGTACCTTTTCATTGACATTTTGGCCACTAAATTTATAGATACCTAGTGCAACTCATGACAAAAAGAGCACCTGGCTGTCATGGACTGCTTGAACTGCTACAAAAAAATTTACCGGAATGTGCTTAAAGAGTTGAGGCTTGATTCTGCAAACACTGCGGTTTTGTGTGTAATGTTTCAAGTGACAGTGATCTACTAACACTGCACTTGCTGGGGGAGAAGGGGGGGGTAAGCGTAGGGGCTAAACGCAGGTGCCGGGGCTGATCCCTCTAATGCTGAGTTTTTGGGGACACTATACTAATGTGAATGCTAGTATAATGCTGATCTGATTAAAGATATTGATCTATTTAGACACTATACTAGCAATGGAGGTTTATTGTGCATGTAAGCGTGTTCCTGGCAATCAAGGGGTTAAATATGATTACTGGTGTACTGATGGGCAACCTGAGGCTATCAGGGAGGGGTGCTAACTGACACTAACACTATCATTGAAATAATATGACTCCCAGATTATTTCAAAGAGGAAGATGGGGCAGAAACCAGTGGGTAGCTGCAAATCGGTGGGTCACTGAAGAGCATCACTTGACCTGCTGAGTGTGTATGTTTATATAGGAGAATCCAGCAAAACACATGAGATAGATTAAAAAAAAAAAATAGGAGGGGGTTGGGGGTTAAGGTTCCTCTTTAATGACTGAAAACCTGCCTGAAAATACTCTAAACCAAAAACAGAATACACTATATTGCCAAAAGT